GACTACCTCATCGACCACAAACATCTCTTTTGCGGCCGGTTGTTCTCTGTAAACTGTTTTTATTCCCTCTGACGTCGGGAACTTCAACACCTGGTGCAGAGTCGAGGGTAATGCCCTCATGTTATGAATCTATGGTCTCCCGAACAAAGCATTATACCTCATGTCCCGTTCGATCACATAGAACTTTGTTTCCTGAACGGTCCCGGCAGTGTTCACCGGTAATGTTATCTCCCCTTTAGTGGTCTCACATGCCATGTTGAACTTGTTTAGGACTCGGACCGCAGGCACGATCTGATCTTGTAGGCCGAGTTGTTTCACGACCCTCGATCTGATGATGTTAGTCTAGCTTACTAGATCAATTAACACACGCTTAACTCGAGATTTATTTATAAGTACTAATATTACCAGTGCATTGTTGTAGGACTGCATGATCCCCTCAGCGTCTTCGTCGTTGAAGGACAAGGTTTACTCCTGCACATAATCCCGAGTTTGTTTTTCCCTCATGATGGATACTTTGGTGTGCTTCATCATCGGCCCCTGAGGAACGTCGACCCCACCGATGATCATGTTAATGACGTAATTAGGTTCCTCCTGCTCGATCTGTTTACTAGAATCTATGTTCCTGAAGTAGTTTTTGGCTTGATCACTCAGGAACTCTCGGAGGTGTCCGTTGTTGAATAATCAGGCTACCTCCTCTCTTATTTATCGGCAATCTTCTGTTCTGTGGCCGTGAGTGCCATGATATTTGCACAATAGGTTAGGATCCCTTTGGGCTGTATCAGACTGTGGAGGTCGAGGCCATTTGGTGTCTTTGATACGTCCAATGAAGGATACGATGGTGGCGGCATCGACGTTAAAGTTGTACTCTGATAGCCTTTGTGCCACCTTATGCCCGATGGGCCTGTCGAAACTATTTTTGCTCATGAGTCCTCGATTGCTTTGTCCCCGATCACTCATTCTTTCACCTTTCATACGGTTTCTCCCCAGATCCGCTACCTCTTCGGTCTCCATTGTATGGCTAATATTGATACCTATTTGACCTTGGTTCACGATCAACGTCTCTCTTGACTCTGTCGATGGCTCTGACGGGGTAAACGGACCCAGAAGGGGCCCCGATTTGATTGTCTTCGTCCCTGTTTTTTTATTTATACTGATTATGCATGTCGACCCAAGTGACAGCCGGGTACTCCACCAGATTTTGTTTCAACTGTTGTAAATCCAACGAGCGTCGAGCATTGAGTCCCTGGGTGAAGGCTTGAACGGCCCAATCGTCTGCGACTGGAGGCAAATCCATTCGTTCTATTTGAAACCGAGACACAAATTCCCTAAGCATCTCATTATCCCTCTGCTTTACTTTGAAAAGGTCTGACTTCTTGGTCTCGGCCTTGATCACCCCGGCGTGTGCTTTTATGAAGGAATCTGCAAGCATAGCAAACGAATCATTAGAATTAGGAGGTAGGTTGTGATACCATATCATAGCTCCTTTGGACAGATTTTCCCTGAACCTTTTCAGCAGGACTGACTCGATCTCATCATCCTCCAAGTCGTTCCCTTTGATGGCGCATATGTAGGAAGTCACATGCTCATTTGGGTCGGTTGTTCTGTTGTACTTAGGAATCTCGGGCATGCTCAACTTCTTTAGGATCGGCTTCGGGACTGCGCTCGGAGGAAAAAGTTTTTGAACAAACTTCTTGGAATCCAGGCCCTTTAGTATTGGAGGTGCTCCTAGGATTTGGTCGACCCTGGAGTTGTAGGTCTCAATCTTTTTGTCATTGGCTTCAATTTTCTTCTCCCCCGATTCTATCCATTTTGTCAATTCCTCGAGCATATTTATGATCTCGGGGTTGGTCCCCAATTAATTCTCATTCAGCCTCTCCGTGATCGGTTCATTTCTGTGGGTGATTTCCCGGGATAGCTCGGGCTCAACCCTGATTGGCGCTCGGGTTTGGTTCTGCAGTTGGGCTATCATTGCATATTGAGCCTGTAATATTTCAAAAATTACTCGCAAATTGATCCCATCGCTTCCACCGATGTACGTATCTTGGGTAATCGATCGGACTTCCCTGCGCACGTTGTTCTTAGGATCGGTAGGCAAATTTGTGTTGATGGCCACATGTGAACTGGCGTCGATAGGGTCCACGACCGGAACTCCTCCGAGATCGACTGAGGGCACCTCGTTACTGGGTGCTACATTGTTGTTCTCGTCATGGTCGCTGGACTCGGCGTCCATGTTTAGAGGGGCAGACTAGGGGTTTGACATTTCAATTTTTAACCTTGAATCAAAGACACTTCAAATAACAAGTGTAAAATAGGGTGTGTTACGGGAATTTATATCAAATTGTCACTATTATCCTTAGCCCCACGGAGGACGCCAAACTGTTTACCCTCAAAATCGAATAATAATTAAATTTATAAGTAGTTTTAAGGATACGCGGATTAACTTGATACAAAGCGATAAATTAAATTGCTATTGAATAAACAAATATAAAATAAATTCAAACCACACGAGTTGGATAGTTTCAGCTTTAATGAAATAGCCGCTCTCGAACCGGGTTCGCGACGACCGATACAGATGAAAAAATATAAAACTCGGTTCCGAAAAAAATTGACTTTTATAGTGAATGAGTGTTATAAAAAGGTCTGATTGTATCAAGAGATCTCAAAATCAACAACGTTTATCTCTTCCTACTAGAATTTCATGATTAAAAAAAAGAGAAAAAAATAATAATTACAAAAAGTGGTAATCTCTCGCAAAGTGATTCATAAAGCTATATATAGAAGTGATGATTGTTGCCTCATGCTAAGAGAAACCCTGAACTTAATCCCAGCCTTAGGCCCACAATAAAGACATGCATTGATGAAAGTAGCATGGGTTACCCATTTTTCGGATTGGTAAGTTTTTTGGTAATTAAACTTTTATATACTAGGGAAATTATTTACAAGCAAATCAGAAAACCCATACATATATGTTCCTATGCTTCCTATACTTCCTCCCCCCTTAACTTCCTACTATTAGTCTAATTTACTTCTATTTATTACATTGGGTAGTAATCCAGTTTACTTAGAACTTTCTCTACTTCCTTGTTGTTTCGACAATGCACTTCTTGTACTATCAGCTTGCCAATTATCTCCCAGCTCCTCGCTTTGTCTTGGAAAATTCTGCCATTCCTTTCCTGCCAAACATAATAAACAATCCTGCTAGTACCATCTTGAATAGTTCTGTTCGTGCATTGCTTCTTCTTGTCCAGTTTTCTGCCCATTTTAATTCCTCTGACCACCCATATATGGTTCTGCTAATGCCTTGCTATTTAAGCAACCTCTTCCATAACTCTGTTGCATATTGGCACTCAAAGAATATATGCTGGATAGACTCATTTGCCTGCTTACACAACAGACATGCTTGATCAGTTTGAATTCCCCACTTTAGCAATCTATCCTTAGTGTACAGTCTACCATTTGCCACCATAGTTAGCATGAATATCCACCTAGGACACCCTGCATTATTACATACCAGACTCCTCCAGCTCACTTTGCTAAAATCACCTCGCAATTTATGGTATATTTGCTTAATAGAACAGTCACGCTTTCTTCTTATATCTTCATAGTTGTATCCTGCAGCCTCAAAACTCTCTTTAGCTTTCACAATCTTTCTCATGATCCACGATGCTTGGTTCAGTTGTACTTCCCAGATGTTTTTATCCTTAATGTAATAGTTGTGTACCCATTGTATCCATAGCTTATTCTTCTCTTTACATAGGTTCCAGAATTATTTACTTATAGCTGCTTTGTTCCATAAGCTAATATTCATGACATTAAAACCTCCTGCTGATTTAAGTTGGCAAACTTTCTCCCAAGCTAGTAATGCTTTCTTTGAAACACTACTGTCCCCTGTCCATAAGAAGCTTTTGCAGATTGCCTCGATCAGTTTTGTAATTTTCTTTGGCAGCATGAAAATCTGAGCCCGTTATTGAAAATTTTCTTTGGTAATTAAAAAATAGTCAGTGTTAACAAAGTTATTGAAAAATAGCCAATATTTTATTGAAACACGGAAAGTTCTAGCATAATATGCTAAATTATGGAGCTCCTGCATATAAACTTCCAGCATATTATATTGGAACCCAGCACATGGAAAGTTCCAGCATAATATGCTTGATTATGGAGCTACTGCGTATACTTCCAGCATATTATATTGGAACTCCAGCATATTATGAAATTGCAGCACATTATGTTAGAATCTCATATGTAAAGCGAGATTGAATGCTCTAAGCTGAGTGTAAGGGTAAGTTCGAGATAGTCTTGGAAAAATTTCGAACTCCAGCATATTATGCTAGATTTTTTCCAGATTTTAAGGGCGTTTTTATTCAGATTTTATCCATACATAAAAAAGTGACAAAATTTCTATTACTTTTAAAATTGTGACTATTTTTTAATTACCAATTGTAAATGTGGCTATTTCTGATTTATTTTTTTTTTATATGCATTGTGCCCAAAGATCAAATTATTATAAGACTCACAATAAGGACATTTATGCAAAGATAGTTATGACAAGAAATATAGTACGTAAGATGACAAGAAATATAGTATCGTAAGATGACAAGATAGATAACAAGAGAGATATCTAAGTATAATAACAAGAAGATATACAAAGATAATTATGAACAGGTTCCGTTTCTATCTTCATTCAGTCCAAGTATCAGGCTACGATCAAGAAGGAATTAAGAAGAAATAAATAGAAAATTATACAAAAAGTGAAGATGTTGAAACTCAAAGAAACTTCTGATAGTTCTAAACATATGCTAGCATTCAATCTAAGCCTATTGGTCACAAACCAGAATGGTAATCATTAATATCGACATAGCTTGTAATTCTCCCCCTTCTTAACTTATACTGAATAGCCATAAAAATCAAAATGTTGATCCAAGATGCTGAAGTTCATTAGGAGTATTATTTACTGTAATTTCAAGTTTCTTGTCTCCAACTTAATATTTTAAACATGTACATATCATCCATATTTTACATAAGTATATTTCTCACAATCACAAACTCATTTCTCATATTAGGACAATCCCATTAAGATATTACAGAGGCAAATAGCATATGTCGACTCAAATCATGGCCTTATTTAATTTTCTTCCATACTAGGAATGGCAAGAAGAGGAATGGCCTTCCTCAAAGTAAGTCCGAATTGTTCCTCCATATCCAAATTCTCTGGTGCCATCCCTTTTGGTAACTTCCAACTAAATGGTTGAACAATAGAAGCCAACACCAAATTCACCGTCCTTATAGCAAGTGGCATTCCAGGACAAATTCTCCGGCCGGCGCCGAATGGTATATACTCAAAGTCCCTTCCTTTGTAATCCACACTTGATTTGATGAATCTTTCAGGCAGAAACTCTAGTGGTTTTTCCCAGTATTTTGGATCTCTCTCAATTGCCCATGCATTTACGAGAACTTGGCTGTTCTTGGGCACAATGAAACCGAATATTTCTGTGTCTTCTTGAGCTTTGTGTGGTAAGAGTAATGGAGCTGCTGGGTGTAGTCTCAAGACTTCTTTTACAACTGCTTGAAGGTATGGAAGTTTGTCAATGTCTGATTCTTTCACTGGCCTTTCTGTGCCTATTTGTTGAAGAATTTCTTCTCTTACTTTCTGTAACTTTTGAGGATTTCGAAGAAGTTCTGCCATTGCCCATTCTGTTGTTATGGCGGACGTGTCACTTCCAGCAAGGAATAAATCCTGTCGTCAGATCACAAATGCCATGACATTCACATACAAAAACCTATTAACTTCTTATAAATCCAGAGTTTAATGTAAGAATTTTCTTCCCTCTTCATTAATAATTATTTGGATCACGCTTTATTTTTCTTGCTTTAGTTGAACATTAATTAGTCCCTTCACATGCATATAAGGATATTTGGATCACGCTTTATTTTTCTTGCTTTAGTTGAACATTAATTAGTCCCTTCACATGCATATAAGGATATTTGGATCACGCTTTATTTTTCTTGCTTTAGTTGAACATTAATTAGTCCCTTCACATGCATATATTCACAACTCCAACATCAAACTTTACATAAAATGTTCAAACTTTAATAAGCTTGAAAACTCATTTCCAAAAACAAAACATAACCAAAAAAAAAAAGGAGGAGAAGATTCATAGACGACCGTATATCAATCCTGGCTCATGAAAACCCACATGTATTCCTCCTAATAGCACAACGTGTTTTGTTTCGTGATATAATTGAAAGTCTTAAAATAAGTTTGACTTTATTGGCTGATTTTTTTCTTTTTCTAGTTTAGTTTCAGTACGTATTCTTCGTCGATCTTGATAAAAAATGCACTAAAAATGTCCAAATTTGATAAGCTTAAAACTCCTTTCAAAAAAAAAAAAGGAGAGAGAGAGAGAGAAAAAAAAGAATTATCGGAACAGATAATTGTTCTTTTCACTTTAATAATGAAAAGAAAATTTCGCTTAAACATAAAGAAAAATTAAAACGAAAATAGAAAGACAAAAAGAAGAGAAGAAAAACAATTACCAGGATAAGAGGCTTGATAGTTTGGCGATCAAATCCAGACCCTTCTTCTTCACATTGATCAAGAAGTACATCCAAGAAATCTCCTGTTTTCTTCATTCCTGACGCTCTATCTTCTACTCTCTTCTCAATTAGTTGGTCAAATATCTCATGCAACCTTAAATATGCTGGCTTAATATGACGTTTCACTCCTTGTAAATCAAGCCACCGTATAATCGGGAAATAATCAGACAAGTTAGGTTTCACTGAATCCTCCATGATTGTCCCAACCAAATCCTTAAACTCTTGAGCCGTCTCGAATTCCGGGTCAACCAAATCAATAGAGAAAATAGTGTTCGACATTAAATTCAACGTCGTCGCGAAAGCAACGTGTCCTACGTCAACAGCTGCACCGCTTTGACACTGCTTTCTCATATGATTCACTAGTTGTGCAACCTTCTCGTGACGTATTTCTTGCAGAGAATCGAGTCTTTGGTTAGTGAACATTTGTGTGCTACATATTCTTCTTCTGTTTCTCCACTTGTCGCCTGTGACCCAAGCTAAGGTGGCTTCTGGATTTGGTTGTGCGGTTATAACATCGGGAACAGTGCGTGCTGATAATGTTTTGTCGTGTTTTTGGAGGATTTCTTTGGCTGTTTCAGGTGAGGAGGCTACTATGGTAATGACTGAACCGAGTTTTAGAGTCATGAGAGGGCCATGGATTTTGGCTAGGTTGGCTAGTGAATGATTAGGTTTTGAACCTAGCTCTAGTAGTGAACCGATTATGGGGAAACCAGTAGGACCAGGGGGTAGCTTTCTGGATTTAGAATGGAGATATGTTTTAAAGAAGAACCAGCAAAAAAGGGAGATGCACAAGAGAAGGATAGTGTGAAGTTCCATTTTTTCTCTCTTCTTTTCTAGGGAATAGATACAAATTAGAGAGCTAGATGTACTTATGTAGACTTTAAATAGGCTCCATATACACTTCTCTTTCCTATGGACTTATGTACTAGCGCACTACCCGTAAGAAATAATAAATGACGCACATAATTTATTATGATACTCATATTAATTAATGCATATTTTTAATGGATTTGAGAAAGTGATTTGAAATAAGTAATTAATAAGATTGGTATAACAGAAAAAAAAAATTATCTTCTTTTGATATACTAAAAGTGACAAGTAAAAATAAAAATTTATTTTTAGAATACCAGATGTGAAATGAACGGAGGAAGTAGTTAGATAATGCAGTCCCATGCGCTACAAAATTTTCTATCGAAGGCGAGGAAATGTTAGCGTAAATTGTCAACTTCATTATAGGTAAGACGCTGAAGAGCTTCCGTATGTGTTCTTCGCTTTTCTTTTCTAGTGCTGGAGTCAATTTCCTCAATTCATTGTGTGTAATCACAAAGCCCGGACGCTTTTGTACATTGTTTACCCTTAAAATTGGATAATAATTAAACTTATAATGTGAATTTAAGGAAACATGATTTCACTTAATAACGATTGATAAATATGAAAATTAATGATAGAATTATACAATAAAGCCAATCAAACCAGTGAATAGAACTCAACCCTTGAGTTAGAGTATCCTCGAGCTGGTTGATGCAAGGACAATAAAAATACGATAAGCTGAAGAACAAGAGTGTGAGCGAGAAAGAAAATTATATTGCTTTTGTATCAGTCGTGCCTCTATAAATGGTTAGAACTCTCCTTTATATAGTAGAGGAATTCTATATATGGTACAATCTTAATTACAGAACGAAATCTCATGATTAACTAAACAACCGTTCTTGATTCGATCCGTTCCGAGATTTCCGCCATGATCTTCGACCAGTCGCGGATATCTCGCTTTTCCGTTATTACGCTATCTTCGGAATTGCTCGATGCATGTCTTGTTTGGTCTCGATTGCTGTCTGCCTCGATCTTGGCAGGTGTCTCGAATCCCGAGCTCGGTACCTTGTCTTCGTGTCTTGACCCAATCCACTTCGGGGTTGACCTTCGATGCAACTTCTTGGTCTCGGTCAGCATAGAAAAAATCCTAAACCGTATACATACATGAATTTTATTATATTTAATATCCTATTAATAGGTGAAGTCGTGGGTAGAAGAGCTGTATATTAAAGAAATCACTTGGGACAAGGTAATTGCCCATATGCAAGAATGACATCTTGATTTATTAACTAGCTTTTCTTTAGTAAAAGAAATAATATTTCGTTCTTTGCTCACTGCATGACTACAAATCAAAGAGAAAAAAGTATTTTAGTTTTGATCATCATAGGCCTGGAACAGGGTTAAACACTTCTTGTTGATAAGTTGTCGTATTTTTAAAGCTGTGGCCGGAGTTGGAAGATCTCAAATTGAAGTCTTGAAACGTAGTAAAAGTCTTGGAAATTGTTAGACATTGTTAGGATCGGGAATCCGGGTAGTGCGAAATTTAGCCAAACAACGGTATAATGACAATAAC